TGCATCCCACTCAAATTTAAAAACCATTTTAAAAAACAGGGACATTTGAGACCTTGATCACTAATGAATGGAGACCAGATGAGCTGTAGGAGGATATCAAGAATATCAACCAACCATGAAGAATGCAAAAGACAGACGGGAAATACTTAAGGATGCTCTATGCAGAATTTTGAATGATCCATGAAACATCAAAAGAGGAAGGAGTACACAGAGTCATTGTATCAAAAAAGAATTGGCTGACTGGAAGAATTTCATGAAACAGCTTATGATCAAGAACGGCTCTGAAGGAATTGGTAAAAAACAAGGCTCCAAGAATTGATGGACTGCCAATTGTTATATTTCAACAAGCAGATGAAGAAGCCCTGGACATGCTCACCAAGTTGTGCCAAGAAATCTGGAGGACAACTACCTGGCCAACTGGCTGGAAGAGATTCCATATTTTTTCCCATTCCAAAAAAAAGTGATCCAACAGAGTGAAGAAACTACAGAACAATATCACCAAATACCACACACAAACAAAATTCTGCTGAAGATTATCCAAAAACGACTGAAACAGTACACTGGATTTAGAAGAGGCTGTGGCACTAGGGACATCATAGTCAATGTCAGATGGATCTTGGCTGAAAATAGTATCAGAGGCATGTCTCTGTTTCATTGACTAAGCAAGGTATTTGACTGTTTGGATTACAACAAACTGAGGCTAACCTTGAGAAGATTGGGAATCTCAGAACACTTAATTGTGCTCATGTGAAACCTGTAATTGGGCTTGGAAGCAGTCATCAGAAAAGAGCAAGGAAACACTTTGTGGTTCAAAAAGCAGGAATGGAATGCATCAGGGATGCATCTTGTCTCCATACTGTTTCAATTTATATGCAGAACAGATTTTTTGGGCAGCTGGACTTTGGGAGGAGGAATGTGGCATCAGGATTAGGGGAAGACTCATCAACAACCTGTGTTACGCAGATGACACAACCTTGTTCACAGTAACTGAGGAGGACCTGAAGTATTTGCTGCAGAAGGTCAAGGACTGCAGTCTTCAATATAGATTGCATCTCAGCATCAAGAAACCAATGTGTTTTGAAGTCAATGGGCTTAATATTGTAAAATCACACTCTGTGTCTTTAAAATTAAAATATTGGATGAACAACGCTCTGATTTTCACACTAAGAAAAAGTTAAGAATTTCTGGTGAGCTTCCACTTAAAAGATGACAAGACACGAGGGAAGTTCACATTTTTTTTTCTTTCTCTTTCAATAATATTAACAAGTCTTTAGAGATTAGAATATTATGGACATACTTGGCTAATTATGTACTCTGGGAATTTAGCTTCCAAGGCCCTACAACTGTAAATATCTAAACCTTCTAAGCCTTCAATTTGTCTAATCCCAACTCAAGATCCATACTCTTTCTCTCCTGGAGGGGGAGTATCGGCTTCAGGATACAGATGTCCAAGTATGCTTTCCTACCAGTCCTGATGAAGAAACCTCTGCCTTCATCACCCAACAAACAGGGGAGACCTGGTGGGCTCCTCCACAGCAGGACTTCATTGTTTCCTCTTCCTCAGGCCAAGCAGCACCTTTATAATGGCCGAAAATGAGGACAGCAAGTGCTAAATGAAACTCAGAAGTCTGTGACTCTTCCTAGTTCTAGCAGAGATTGAAGAAAGATTATTTTGTGTACTAACTTCTTCTACATTAGTTCTACCTCTTTTAGAGAGTTCCCTCCCTGAACAGGTAATAGTTTCTTCTTATTTGTCCCTGCACAACATAATGATCTTGATTATGTTGATAACAATAATGGTGATGATAATAATTTTTAGTGTTACTGAACACAAAGGGTTCTTTTCTTAGTCAATCGCCAATAAGATAAACAGATTGCAATATCCATAAGCACTTTCTTAATCAGATCTGGGAGACAGCGATTCACCTCTAAGACTGTCTCCCTGTCTGGAAGTTGTCATTGGGTTTTATACTAGGATGAAACACTAGCTCATTTAACAGTGTACTTTTGTTAGTAAAAAAAGGAATTTCTGCATCTGAAAAAAATAATAGTTCATATTTAAGTACTAATAATTCAGGAAGGGTACAGTCCCCTTCCTGGTAAATGTGCAGGTTAAGATACAATTCACTTATGACTGGGAAACAGCCTCAGAAAGATCTAGGAGAGATGCATTTCCTCTTCTGGTAAACAGATCAAACAACTTTACATGATTTAAGACAGGAAACAGAGAATTCAGAGGTTAACTAACTAGTTTTGCAGGCTGAATAAAAATAACTATAGTTTTAGAACTGATACATATATAGAGAATTCTGAACTTGTTAATACCACCCTATCATTAGCACATTACTATAAACATTACTGGAGTTATCCCGTGTAAGGACCTGAAACGCGTTTTCTGTGGGATTTCTTCCCTATTTCTGCATCATTAAGCCCAGGAGACAGCAACACATATTATCTACATTTCACAGAGGAGAAAAGAAGTCTTGCTGTTTGGTATCATTTGTACCAGCTTATTAACTAGCAAAGCCCAGACTGAACGCAAGCTGTTTGAGAGCGATAGGCACGGGACACCAAGTCATTGTTTTCCTTGCCCAATCACTCTGACATTTCTAATCCCTGGTCTCTCCAGGAAGAAATCTCCTTTTCACTGTGCTTTATTGTGTGAAATTTCTTCCAGGCCACATGAAACTTAAATGCATCTTAGGTTAAGTTTCCTTTATTGTTACTCAAAATGTTTTCAATGTGAGGAAACTCTAAGGTTGGTGAATGTATGGGCCTTAGGGACCTATGATTTAATTGTAAATCCAGTCTACTCTACTTAGTGTATGAGGGGGCACATTGCTTATATTTCTTAGTCTCTGATACAGGCCACGGTCTTTGCAATCACTTGTTAGGCATCAGAGCTGGACAATGACTAGGGAGGATAGAAGGAGAACTGATGCCTTTGAGCTGTGGTGTCGGAGAAGAGTATTGAATGTACCATGTACTGCCAAGAAAACAAACAGATTCATCTTGGAGAGGGTTGAACCAGGCTACTCCTTGGAGGCAAGGATTCTGGGGCTTCGTCTGACATACTTTGGGCGTGTTGTAAGGAGGGACAGGTTCTTGGAGAGGGACATCATGCTTAGTAGGGTAGAGGGACAGTGCAGGAGGGGAAGACCCTCTATGAGGTGGATTGATTCAGTGACTGGGATAATCGGATGGGTGTGTCAGAGGCAGTGCGATTGGCACAGGATAGAGCCAGGTTTAGGGCTGTTGTACATAGGGTCGCTATGAGTCACAAACGACTCAACAGCACATAACAACAACAACAACAACAGCAACAACAACAACAACACGTTGCTCTCAGAGTCTACCCACATCTGAAAGAGAGTTTGTTCTGTACTTCTATCAGGACTAGGAAGACAACTGATATATGTGTTTGGTTTTTACTCTTAAAATTTGGTGAATTTGATTTTTGAATTAAGGAAATGGGCTAAACAGTTTACAGGGAATTTTATAGCATGAATCCTGTGGATTGCAGCACTTTCTGTAAATTGCAATATAAGTGAATAGATATTGTATAGATATAATTATAGAATATATAATTATATATAATAAATAAAATTTAAAATTATATATGATAGAATGGAATAGAATATAGAATAGAATAATTTCATATAACTGCATACTTAAGAAATCCAATATGAAAATATTATTCCATATTCATATGCAATAGATGTTATGAATAAGACTTCTGTAAATAGCAATCTATTTTACTACATGCTTAAGAAATCTGAGCTATGTAAATAATAACCCCTATTCATGTGTCTATAATCAAGGTACGTTCATTTTACACATAACTATTTTGAAGCTCTCTCTGACATACTTTGGGCATGTTGTCAGGAGGAACCATTCCTTGGAGAAGAACATCATTCATGGACAGCACAAGAAAGGAAGACCCTGGATGAGATAGATTGACACCATGACTGGAATAATGGGGAGTAGGTGTGTCAGAGACAATGAGATTGGCTCAGGGGCAGCACTCAGAGCTTTTGTGCATAAGGTTGCTGTGAGTCGCAGACAACCCAGAGGCATTATTAATGTAAACTAAGCAAAGCTTCATCCCATTCAAACGAAGTATTTGATAATCTGATGATTTCCTTTCATTTGGATCTCTATAAGAACGTTTTCTTTTCGTTCTTATTTAGGTAGATAATAAATGCTTGGGAGGAACCACTTAAATTTCATTCATTTTTGATTCCATAGAGGGAATCATGGTTGGCATAAGATAGATTATAACTGTAAGACAGTGATAAATCTGTTTTAAATATAAAATAGATTCTTCTTTTGTTCACAGGATCAAAAAGTAGACTCTCTGGCTTCTATATGGAGTGTTTCCCTGCCTGTGCTTTGTTAAGGAGCAAACTGGCCGAACTTCTTTCACAATAGTCATAGTGATTTTGAATTGAAATTGTCTTGTAAGAAAGTCTATTTTCTGTTGTATTTACTTCCCTCCTTTGAGGGGACTACTGTATTTCTATTGTTCTTCTGTGGATTTGTTATCTTAAAATGTCCTTACTATTCTAACATCATTGACCTCAGAGATTCTAAAGTGAGAGTACAGAAATGGTAGAAAACAGTGATGAAAGATTTCTGAGAAGCACAGTAGTTGAGTTTGCCACAATTTATGGTATTGTTGAAGGAACTGAAGTATTAAGTGTTAATACTTGTAAATTTGTGTTTGATAATTAACATCACAAATTCAAAATTCACACACTGGGTGCTGAGTGCCTTTTCATTTGTTTCCTTTTTATTTTTTATACTTTTTTATTATTAATTTTAATAGACATTTACAGAGGTTTTGGATTTCCACTCATTCATTTCCACACTTTTCTCCCTGCCCACCCCTCCCCACCAGCTCGCTTCCCCCTCCTAAGAGAAAAAAGAATTCCTTCATTAGTAAAGTTGTTTCCTTTTTAACAATCCTCTTTTCCTTCCCCACATTATGTGACAGGTACATGGAGCGCCAGAATCTAACAAGCATCTCTGATTTCCACCTCCTGTGCTTTTCTAAGGATCCAGAAGTTCAGCCCTTCCTCTTTGGGCTGTTTTTGTCTATGTACCTGGTCGCTGTCGCTGGGAATCTGCTCATCATCCTGGTCATCTGCTCTGACCCTCGCCTCCACACTCCGATGTACTTCTTCCTCTCCAATCTGTCCATGGCTGATATCTGCTCCGTCTCCACCACAGTCCCAAAGATGCTGGTGAATATTCAGACACGGAGCAGATCCATCACCTCTGTGGGCTGCCTGATGCAGGTGTTCTTTTTTTATCTCTTTGCCTGTCTGGACAGTATGTTCCTCACTGTGATGGCTTATGACAGGTTTGTAGCCATCTGCCGGCCCTTGCACTACACAGTGGTCATGAACTCCCGCTTCTGTGGCTTGCTGGCTGTCATCTCTTTTGTCATGAGCCTTTTGGACTCCCAGTTGCACATTTCAATAGTGTCACAACTGAACTTCTGCACAGATGTGGAAATCCCTAGTTTTTTCTGTGACCCTCCACAGCTCCTTAGTCTTTCCTGTTCTGACACCTCCACCATTACTATAGTAATGTATTGTGTCAGTGCCATCTATGGTGGTATTCCAGTCTTGGGAATCCTTTTCTCCTACACTCGAATTATATCTTCTGTTCTGAGGGTCTCCTCCTTACGTGGGAGGTATAAAGCCTTTTCAACCTGTGGCTCTCACTTGTCAGTTGTTTGCTTATTTTATGGAACAGGTATCGGTGTGTACCTCAGTTCAGTTGTAGCTTCTTCCAGGAAAGGTGTAAGTGCTGTTGCCTCGGTTATGTACACCGTGGTCACCCCTATGTTGAACCCCTTCATCTACAGCCTAAGAAACAAAGACATTAAGAGGGCACTGCATAAGCTTCTCAGCAAGAACACCTAGTCATGACACCTGTGCTATCTTTTTTTGTGTTGGTTGGAAAAGAGGACAAAATCAAACACCTCTTCAGTTACATAATTTTTGTCACTGTCATAATTTTTAATCTTGAATTTCATGTGATCGTTGTCTGGTTCAGGCTGTGGTCTTTCTGATTACCAGCTATGCATCTGAGATCTGGACACTGAATAAGAATGACAGAAAAATAATTGATGCCTTTGAGATGTGGTGTTGGAGAAGAGTGCTGAACATCCCATGGATGGCCAAGAAAATAAATAGCTATGTCTTGGAGAGGGTGCAGCCAGAGTGTTCTTTGGAGGCAAGATTGATGAGGTTTTGCCTAACATACTTTGGACATATTGCTAAGAGGTGCTATTCCTTGGAGAGGGACATGATGTTGGGAAGGGTTGAGGGTTGGCGAAGGAGAGGAAGACCCTCAACCAGGTGGACTGACAAGGTGACTGCTGCAATGGGCTCTTGTGTGTCAGGAAGTGTGAGGATGGCACAGGACAGGTCTGGTTTCAGATCTTTTGTTCATGGTGTCGCTATGAGTTGTACTCGACTTGCTGGCACCTAACAACAACAACAACAACAACAACAACAACAACAACAATAACAACAGCAACAGCAACATTGTTTTCTTTGTGACATCTCTAAAGGAATGAGTTAAATATTTGTATATATGTCAATCTTCTATCTGCATGATCAAATTTCATTATTGTTGCAGAGCCTCTTGTTGTTTATAATCTATGATTTAAGCTCCTCTGTGGCAATCACTTCCTAAACAACCTGCCTCTGGAAACTCTATGAACTTTGATAAATGTTGATAGTTGTAGAAGGGCTTTAGGCCTTCTGTTCATAGGGTTGCTATGCGTCATGCTCGACTTGAAGGCAATCAACAACAAAAACAACTAGTCTGTAACATAAATATGCATATATATTTTCAAATAGTTGACATGATTTCTGAAGGAGTTATTTGGGCTCTCTGAAAAACTGACTGTAAATGGTTTAGTTTGCTCTGTCTCTTATCAAACCTATAAATTTTCTTGATGAGACACTTTTGTACTGGAAAAGAAAATGCATGATAAGATGAGATCATACAATTTGTGGGAATATATATGGTAAAAGGGTGTGTGTATTCCTTGGTTGTAGTTAACTGAAATGATATTTTATGGTTTCAACTTATCCTAGAACTAGGTTGCACTTGCATTTCTGCAAACCTAGGCTGGTCCATAGTGTGCTTCACTGCTAACCTTAATGTGTCATCTTTCTGGAAGTTCGAATCTACCAGCCACTACTCCAGAGAAAGATGGGCACTCCCCCCTCATGCAATTTACAGGTTCCAAAAGCCTACTGGAGGTTCAACTACACATTGGTTCTAATTTGACTAAACGGGAGCATTTTTGAGGGTTGATCTAAAAATATCTTTGAGGTAGGGCTTCCCTTTGAGTTTTGATGGCTGACTTTCCCCAAAGTTAACATTTTCTTTTTATTCTTTGCACTTCAGCACTTAGAAAGAATGATACTGGCTCATTAACACTTCCAATGGAGAAAAAACTGGAATGAAATAATGTCAGAATTCTTCACAGCTCTCAGAAAGTTGTGTGCATAACTTTGGTATGGAAGAGAAATCACAGGAAAGGTGTGGGATTTTATGACACACCCCTGACCACATCTTGGTTTATAAACTTCCATTGGCTGAAGTGCACTTACCTGGGTGTTAGAGTCCTCAATATCCAATTAAGACTGTGATATTCTTCCAAGGCCACTGTAATAACCACATTTAATATTGCAGTTTACTACCAAATAGTAATTTTTATTATTTCTTATAAAGCTCATCAGATTCAAATGAGGTTTATATTACAAATTATAATCTTCTCTCTCATCACTGTCTAGTTGGAAGTGACTCGTAGCTGACCTATGAGGTTTTAGTAGATCATAAGTCTCATGGGAAGATATTGTCCCTCTTTCTTTCAAGATGCTGCTGGTGGAATTGAACCATCAGAAAGACACTACTTTTGAGTTAGCAGCTCGACTCTCTATGGACTATGGTGCTAAAGTCTCACTGTAATATTTGTTGCTATGTGCTGTCGAGTCATCTGAGACTCATAGTGACCCTATGTACAACAGCCCTAAAGCCTGCTCTATCCTATGCCAGTCGTACCATCTCCGACACACATACTCCCATTACCCCAGTCACTGAATCAATTCACCTCATAGAGGGTCTTCCCCTCCTGCGCTGTCCCTCCACCCTCCCCAGCATGATGTCCCCCAAGGACCGGTCTCTCGAAACATGTCCAAAGTATGTCAGACGAAGCCTCAGAATCTTTGCCTCCAAGGAGCAGCCTGGTTTAACCCTCTCCAGCATGTATCTGTTTGTTTTCTTAGCAGTCCATGGTATAGTCAAATACTCTTCTCCAACACCACAGCTCAAAGGCATCAATTCTCCTTCCATCATCCCTAGTCATTGTACAGCTCTCTGATGCATAGCAAGTGATTGGAAAGACCATGGCCTGTATCAGGTGCACCTTAGTCTCCAGAGTGACATCATCGCTCTTCAGTACTTTGGAGAGGTCCCTAACTGCAGACTTTCCCATTGTAATACATCTTTTAATTTCCTGGCTGCTGGTGCTATAATATAAAACATCTTTTTGCAGTTCTTTCTTGTCTCTGTACGTCAGATCAGCAAAAAACATTGATCTGAGAGAGCAGTTAAAGATGATGAAAGGCAATGATCAGAACAGTGTTTAATACATAATAATGGATTAATTAGTGGAAGCTAAAATAGTCATTGTATGAATGGGCCAAAAGAGTACTACAACTAGGAAACTTTTTTTTTGTGTAAAAGACTGTAACACTACATAATATTCATAAGCGTACTACGTCAATTTCTTTACAATTGTTTGACAAGTCACTGACTCCAATTTACATTTTCTTGTCTAATAAATATAATGTTAAGACTTCCTTTTGATGTCTGTTGACACAGAGTTTTTGTTGCTAATAGCAGCCCTTACCAGCTTAATATTGAATTTCTAAAGCCTCTTTCATGCTCTGCAGACCATTTTTTCCAGTGCAGAAAGAAATTCAGTTTTCCATTTCAGAAAAAGTTCTAATAAAGGTAACTTGTCATAGCCTAGGAGATGAATGGGTCAGTGCAAGTTAGTGATTCTGGAATGCCACAGCCACAGGCACTCTGCACCGCTGCCTAGCTGACCAGCTGCCACTCTTAGCCCACTTACTTTTATAGGAAGGACTTCCTGCCTACAGAAAGACTTGGGTCTCTTGCCTACTGGAAGAATGAGGCAAGTATCAGAGACTAGACACTGGGAGATTGCTTGTCCCTTGCTCATAAGAAACAGCTCTGACAGACCACAAACCTGGCTCCACAGGACTCGGGTGATGTATACCCTGAAGCAGCACAGTATTGCTGCCTGGCTTCATGTGGAGGCAATACCATGGGCTTAAGGTATGCATTTGCAGCTACCCCCACCTCCTATTGAGTAGCCTGTAATTAGAGTGGCACAGTCCTGTTTCTAACACTCTGCTTTGCCCATCATCTGTTTCTGGGGCAGCACGTAAGGCACAGAGAGGTAGGAGGAGTTCCACAACTCTTAGTAAAATCCATAAATACCCCAGAGTAAATGCAAGGTTTACACTCTTTCATTTTCAGTGACCAAGTTACTAGCAACTCAGCCCATGTTGTTTGGAAGCTAGCTTATTATACTGTTCTTAAACAAATGTGATCATAAGCAAAATTTTTGGAGTATGAAATAAAGTTTAATAAAGTGAAAATTCACATCTGAAAAATATCATTAGATATGTGCAGTATATATATTGGTACTCTAGTCCAGAAGTTGTTTTACGTAATTTTCTCATGTCCATGCATGATATGCATATGTGTGCAAGTACACTATTTGTGAAAAATATTAGTTTCACAGATAATTATTTTGTTTTTCAACATTAACACCTTCAACTCATTAGCTATTATGCATGTCCAAGAAAGGGGTATTTTTCTCCCTAATTCCTAATGCTCCTTGGAGTCAAGGATTCTGAAACTTCGTCTGACATACTTTGGGCCTGTTGCAAGGAGGGACTGGTCCTTGGAGAGGGACATCATGTTTGGGAGAGTGGAGGGACGGCGCAGGAGAGGAAGGCCCTTGATGAGATGGATTGATTCTGTGAGTGGAGTGATGAGAATGAGTATGTCTGAGACGGTGAGGTTGGCACAGGATAGAACGGCGTTTAGGGCTCTTGTACATAGGGTCGCTTTGAGTTGCAAGCGACTCGATGGCACATAACAACAACAACAACAATTCCAATTATGGAAAACTCACATAGAGAGATTGAGACCTACACACACTTTACATAGCTATGCAGTATGTAAACAATGTGAGAATCAGACTTTGTCCCCTTGTCCTCTATCCAGGGCTTTACATACCTAATCAAAGCGGAATGATCCCACGTAAGTTATCAGAGGAAGAACTATCAATTCCTCTATTGCACTTAGTGAGCTTATCTGGAAATTGACCAAGCAGTCAAAGTATAGAACTTACGAAAGTGGTTCTTCCTGGAATAAATATTGTAGTGTGTCAAGTTCTATATAAACACACAGAATGAAATTTACAGCTCACTTTCGAAATCCACAATATAGAAATATTCTTCATTGATGATGAAACTATCATAAAAGGAATTTTATGGCAGAATTTAGGAATGTGTTTTACTTCACTCCTTTTTTTTTTTAAAATAGCATTCAAATATTTAGTATTGGCTTCCCATATTTCTCCCCTTTTGTTTTTATCATAATTATGTTATCATCTAGATGAGCATCCTTTATACACAAACAAATAAAACAAATTAAACATAATAAACTCAAAGAAATACTTTAAAAAATCTCCATATGATCAGAAGGATTCAGGTTGATTATTCCTTGAAAGTCTGTTTTAATTTTCCCATTGCCACAGTGCTTGTCAAAACCAGTTCTGATTAATCGCCTTTGTCAGTGTGTCCTTTGCCATTCCCTATCACTCCTCCCTGAGAGAGATTTCACTCTGATTCATAAGGAAAAGGGGATGGCATATTTTCTTAGCTACTTCCTGCTGAAAAGGGACACTGTAGGTTTCAGGGTGAAGATCTTCTGTCACTACTCTAAAAGGCCCCTTTGGCAATAGGAAACACATAGACTATTGTGGAGATTGATTTTGGAATTTAGATGCACTGTCATCAATTGTGCTTAGCCATACATGTTCATATCCTTGAAGATGTATCATGGAACTGTTGCAGCCTAGAAGACACAAATTTAACAAGTTAAATAAAAGTGCATGAGTCAAAAATTGAAAAGCAATAATATTCCAAGTAGAGGTTCTAACAGGGACACAAATTAAGTTACAGAGGGAAGGTAGTTCTTAAAATAAAAGGCTTATTGACTAGCACTTTGTCTATTATAGTATAAAGGTTAGGAACCACAAGATGTAGAGGCTCAACTATGTCATTTATTGTTCTTAAGTCCTGGACCAAATTTCATCTACCACTGGGTTGTTTTACAGCTCAGAAGTCCACATGCAAGGCAGAGGTGAAGTAAGGAACTGCTTATGAGGTTTTCCCTCAATTCCAACAACTAAGAAGTAATGAAAAGAGTTGGGACCTCAGAAGGCTTCTAGGACCAAATAATAGGCTCTTGTGTCCAAGAGAAAATGAATATACTTACCAGTAATGTTAATGCTCACCCACGGCTCTTCTGGGAGGATCTGAATCGTTGAAGTGTAAGAATGCTTTTTAATCTATACATTAACAAAAGAGAAATGTGGTTGATTATGGTTGAATTTTTAATAAGAGAAAGACAACTTAATAAGAGTGAACATGTACCAGTTTTTTCCTGAACAGGTAATAATCATTCATATGTTGTTATGTGCCATGTGACTCGTAGCAAACTTATGTACAATAGCTCTGAATCCTCTTCTATCCTGAGCCAACCTTATAATCTCTGACACACCTACCACCATTACCCTAGTCACTGAGTCAATCTATCTCATCTAGGGTCTTCCTCTCTTGTGCTATCCCTCTACCCTTCTAAGCATGATGTCCTTCTCCAAGGACTGGTCCCTCCTTGCAACATTCCCAAAGTATATCAGAAGAAACTTCAAAATCCTTGCCTCAAAGGAGCAGCCTGGTTTCAGCCCCCACTAGGATGAACCTGTTTTTCCTCCTAGCTGTTTGTGGTATATTCAATACCCTTCTCCAGTACCACAACTCAAAGACATCAATTCTTCTTCTATTATCCTTAGCCATTTTCCAGTTCTCTGATGCATAGAACATAATTATGAAGACCATGGCCTTGATCAGGTGCACCTTAGTCTCTAGACTGACATCATTGCTCTTCAGTACTCTGGAGAGGTCCCTGACAGCAGATTTTCCTAATGTAATTTATCTTTTGACGTCCTGGCTGCTGGTACTAAGAGTGTTGATTGTGGAAGCAAGCAAGCTGTTGTTGCTGCTAATAATGTCAACATTCATATATCATAAAAAATTTCTCACTTGTGAATTTACCTCTTATGCAGAGAGAAAAAGGAAGTTTTATTGGTGTGCATGATAAGGGATTGAAAAGAAAACGAATGCCTAGTGACCTTGAGCACTTCTTCATGTAGTTGTTGACTATCTAAATATCTTCTTTGGTAAAGAATCTTTTCAAGTCTCCTGTCCATTTTGGAAATGACCTTTTTTGGCTTTTTCTTATTGAGATACTGGAATTTTAGATAGATACCCCTTTCAGATTTGTCATTGCCAAATATTATCCCCAGTATTCCCTCTCCAGTAGGTAGAAATTTTTCTCAATGCACTGAAGGTACTCAAATATCATTATTTTATTTCCTTATTGAGCTCTAATGATCTAGTGGTAAGGAGTTGTGTTGCCAACCCAAAGGCAGACAGTTCAAATTAATCAGCTGCTCTGTGAAGAAGGATGAGCATTCTTCTTCTCTTTAATTTATAGCCTTTCAAAATGGCCTGAGGAGTTCTGACTCAATGAATGGGTTCTGACTTGGTGGCAAGTAACAACAACAAACAACCATGCAGATCTAAAAACATCTCTGCCCCTGAAAGGTTTTCTGTTCAATTGTTTGAGCCATCACATTATCGTTTGTGTGTGTGTGTGTGTGTGTGTGTGTGTGTGATTAGAACCTTTATTG